TTGTCGTTCTCGCCAATAGGGCCCATTCCCTTGGAATGATGACATCATATTACTCATTTGATGGCAATTTGGTTAGCAGATCTCGCTGAATATTTTGGCTCTCCCTTGACAAATTCTGACCTCAGGGTCTTTTCCTTTCGAACCAAATTTTGGTGTCAACAGATTCACCCCTTGCAGAGTTAATCTCTTGAAGCTTGCCTTTTAACACTATCATTTCTTGTTATGCATTGTCCATGTATTTAACTATTGATATGAAGCATGCCTTGAACCATGCATATATCTACGCACAAATGCCATTCTTGTTTGGAAATTAGTTTACCTTTTCATCTTCATGATGGTCTCTTATTCATCTAACCAAACAAGCAACATGGATAACCATATCCAAGAATTGAATCAATTGCTTGCCACACGTTCATCGACATCTAGACTGCTTGCTCATGGCATTGGCCGTCTTATGTGCCAGCCTTGTGCGATCATTGTCGCGTCGAGACCAAGCCCATAGAGCCACACCAAGCACGCCTAGTCCTATGCCTTCTTAATTGAGCCATGTGCATGTCTATACTCCTCGAGTAAACACTACCATTGGCCATTCTCTCCTTGTAGCTGCTAGTGTCTGTGACACCCTTAGGTTTCCAACAAGTTCCTCCAAGTGATTGCAATGAAGCTTGTGGCTTGTAAGCAGGACTAGGCGGATTTGGGCCTAGGGTTGGGCAAGCGGGGGGTGGGGAGGAGGGAGGTTGCATCCTTAGGCATGGCCTAGGTATTTTGGAACAAAGTAGCCCATGTAGTACCTCCAACGGCCTAGCTCAACACAACAACCCCCTTTATCTGATCCAGCCCCTTCTACCTTTGTCCTGGATGATTGACACAGCTTTTGTGATTCCACCTCACTCCCATCATCCACTACTTGTGCCTCGTGCTTCTCTCCAACTTTGTGCTTTTGTCCGTGAGTCCTATGCCTTCTTAATCGAGCCCTGCGCATGTCTATACTCCTCGAGTAAACACTATCGTTGGCCATTCTCTCCTTGTAGCTGCTATTGTCTGTGGCTCCCTTAGGTTTCCAACATGTTCCTCCAAGTGATTGCAATGAAGCTTGTGGCTTGTAAGTAGGAATGGGTGGATTTGGGCCTAGGGTTGGGCAGGCGGGGGGTGGGGAGGAGGGAGCCTGCAACCTTAGGCATGGCCTAGGTATTTTATAACAAAGTAGCCCATCTAGTACCTCCAACGGCCTAGCTCAACACAACAACCCCCTTTATCCGATCCAGCCCCTTCTGCCTTTCTCCAGATGATTGACACTGCTTTCATGATTCCACCTCGCTCCCATCATCCACTGCTTGTGCCTTGTGTCTTCTCTCCAACTTCGTGCCTTTGTCCGTGAGTCCATGCTCAAGCCACAGAGATAGAGATGATATTCTAAATGAACCATTAATCCGTTGTAGGCTCAAGAACACCTCCCACTCATTCCCATGCTTGATTGATCGTCCAAAGTCAAATTAGAGAGAGATCTAGTATATTTTCTTAGTTAATTTCCATCTAGTGGCACTAGTTCATCGTTGGAGTAGCCATACTTATAACAGTTATCTAGTGCCACTTGTGCGATTTAACATTGCATAGGTTTGTGTGACCTTGCCAACTAGAATTGTGTAGGGGAGCTTCCACTAGCTCGGCACCTTAGGATCACCTTGCATAGGATCTTTGATAAGGTCCTTATGATAAATAGAAGTGTGTAGTCTTGGCTAGATCGAATAGTTTAGTTCTACATTAAATTCGGCTAGCCGACATAATTAAGTTTAGAAAAGACTATTTACTTGTTGAATATCAAACAAGGGGTTACCTAAACCATTGGATTAGCACCTTGATAGTACGTTTGACCCCCTGACTAATCCTCCTAATCTACTAGGGGCTCGGGAGCTACACATGTCATGTGTGCTCGTGTGCACACCCTGCACTATCACACTGTAACAGATCTGTCCAATTTATAACAACTCAAGTATCACGACCATTGCTAAGAGCATTGGCATGCTCACACTTCAACCCATATAAACCTGTAGTCCGTAAAGTGTCACGAAGGACCTCGATAATCAACTTTACAACCAAGATCGTACTCGATTAAGCAAATGCAAATCACGTACATAAAGTTTGTAGTGAAAATAATATTACAAACCAAGTTCACAAATAAATAATGCAATACCAATTTTCCAAATTCGATAAGTTATATTGACATAGTTTTGAAATGGTTACAAACCATAAGTTGGGAATATAGTGCTACATTTAACAACATCCTCCAAGCAAAAGCAAAAATGAGATATGTAGAATATTAGTCGAGCCCACCGATACCTTGTTGGTATTTATTAACGCAAACAGAGAAATTCGCAAGCGCACGGATAATGTTGTAGCTTTCACCCAAGAGTATTCCAGAGTATCGTATTTATCCTCAGAGAAGTAATGGTTAAAGAACTTGATAGTTGACTATCATGTATCCACTAACTAGTATACCGACTAGACTAATATAAGGGTAAGTGATAAAATATGAGTTTTGTATTTTGACACACACAGGAAAACTCCATGGTAAGATAAAACAATAGACAAGCTAAGCTAGGAGGACAACGGGGATGACAAGGTTCCTTTATACTTCTCTATTACTGTGGTTCTATTCTAGAGCAGACCAAAGGAATTAACTAAGCAAAGATTAGACATAGCGATCACACCTTAACACTTCAGAGTAGCAGTACCTTTCTGATCCTCGAAAAGACTAGGAAGGGGTGATCAGGGGAAGGCTGCCAAAAGCTCTACGAAAACACCAACCCTAACGTGGTGGACTACAAAGGCCTGGTCAGAGCTGTCACCTCTGGGGCAACCACAACTATCTGTGGGGTTGGGCGCAAACTCAGGTAACCTATAGTCTAGACACCATGTCTACACTATCGATTACTACTCTAGCCACATATGATAACTAGAGCACTCGATCGAGCGGAGATCCCATGCTAAGATGTAAACCACTATACTAACTATACTTAGCTAAGCCACTAAGGCATGAACTAGATAACCAAGAAAGGTATTCAAGTAATTGGAGAAGATAAATATAAAGTATTTGAGTCTTACATAGGACCGATACAAGATTTATCGGACCTCCGAGGGCTCTTTCAGAACTCGAGCATCTCTCCCTAACTCCCAACTAATCCAATACACTTTTACATCTTGGCAAAGGCAAAGAGAATGAGGAGAGCCCTTGTGGTGTGTTGAATGAGAGAGAGTGAGGTGGTATTTATAGCTGAGAGGAGGAATAAGGGGCACTTCTTGTACCATGTCATCAATCCATGTGACATTGCTTATTAACCCTTAGATCAAACCGCTCTTGAATTGATGGTGGAGATGAAGTATAATTGTGCTTCTTTGTATGATAGCATGCATAAGGTTGGTGGTTCCTGCACGCCGCCTGCAGAAGCTACGCGTGCATGGAGTGTCGTGCTTCATTTTTTATCTCCTGCGCGTCGAGCACTCTCGTCCGTACGTTGACATTGGCTATGATCGCTGCATGTTGCAGCTGCTATATTTGTAGATGGACATTGACTCACGTAGCTGGTTGCTCCCCTTGACCTCTTGTAAAAATTAATATCTTGTTCTAAATATAGCAAATAATATATCCGTTTCGATCAGGTCGGCGAGTTCTTCACAATGATGCGCTCTAAATCATTGTTCGAGACTGTTTTGATGTGAAACTAATTTCGAATTTCTTTCATGCCAAATTTTCATCAAGCTGTATATATACTATTTAATATCTTTTACCGCGCATTTTAAGTATATCCTGCAAAATAAGTCTAGAGAATCAAAACTCATGGAATTTGTTAGATAAATTAATATTTTACTCTAATGTAGCATGAAATGTTATTATTTTAAATTAATTTGGCGATTAAAATATAGGAGTTAAGGACCGCCAACACACCTTATTCACGACCCTCAACAAGGGCAAGAATGGCACCAAGATATAGTGGTTCACCTACAACTAAGTGGAATACAACCCTGAGTATTCGAGTGTACTCAGTAAGACTTACCCGACATAGAGTAAATAAAAGAGACACCAAAAGATATGCAAGGCTTTTATCGTGGAGCAAGCTTGACAATAAGACTTTAGCAAAGGGCTTACTAATATGAGGCCTTACTTTCAATATTTTAGTGATGAGAGTCTAACACAGGGGTATGTGAAGTCCCTGGATTAAGGGCGCGATAGTCTGGCTAACCCTTCGACCGACTCTTCTTAATAGCCCTTTGGACTTCCTCGTTCCACCACCAAGTATCTTTAGCCTCGCCTCCACTTCCTTTTGTTATTCCACACACCTCTGAGGGCACCTTCCGAATATTGGTTGCCATTTTCTTTCACATATTGTTTATGTCATCTTCTTCCTTCCAAGAGCCCTCTTTGATAATCCTTTCCCTGAATACCTCTAACGTCTCCCCTTTCAGTTTTCATCACTTTATTCTTTCAATCTTAGCTTGTTTATCGCTATGGACACGCACCTGAAAACGAAAGTCTGCCACAAAAAGCTTATGTTGAGAAACAACACACTCTCCTGGTATCACCTTGCAACACAAGCATGCTCGTTTGTCCTTTCTTCTTGCGAGGACAAAGTCAATCTGGCTAGAGTGTTGTCTTCTTTTGCACAACTAACTGAATTTTATTTTCAATTTCGAATCATGCATGATCTATATATATATGAGGATTTAGGTTTCTTCGTTATGAACATATTTTGCTGTCTAGTTACTTTGTTAATAGTAAGTTATTTTGTGAAGGTGCTAACTTTTGATATGTTTGGGTAATATGAATGATTTATAGTTGAATGCCTATTATAATTGATGTTTATGTTATGCTGTTATGTAATCCTAGGCTGCTCTTTATCAAACTGACTTTCGACCAGTTCCACTGGAGGAGTTCATCAAAGTTGGTAATCAAATATTTGATAAAGACATGAACGTTGTTCGTGTCCTTCCCAAAGTAGCTGACCATGGCGGCAAGGATCCAGATCATATTGTTGAACTGTGTAATGAGGTAAATCTGATATTTACTATGCAGGCCTTAGTTTTTCTCTGTTAACCACTACACTTCCGAAACAAATTGAATATCCTACTTGTGTTTGTTCCAGGTTGTTCTTCAGGGCCATTCTGTGCTTTTGTTTTGCTCCAGTCGTAAAGGCTGTGAATCAACTGCAAGACATGTTGCCAAGTTCTTGAAACTACCCTCTGTTGGATCAAGTGATGTTAGTTCAGAGTTTTCAGATGCTGCAGCTGCTATTGAGGCCTTGAGGAGGTGCCCTGCTGGACTGGATCCAATATTGGGAGAAACCCTTCCTTTTGGTGTTGCATATCATCATGCTGGTCTTACGGTATGGAAGTTATCTTCTATCTTCATAAGATACACAAAATATCAACAATAATTTTTTTTTGAAGTGTACACTGCTAAATGTAATAAAGCGATGCCATTTTCACCTAACCACAACTGGGAAAGGGTGCTAGGAACTGATCTGCCAGACCATTGAGCTCACCATCTATGACCTGTTCTGTTTGATCCAACGAGCATCATCGCCTGCTGTTCTGTGGCAGGTTGAGGAGAGGGAGATTGTGGAATCATGCTACCGTAAAGGCCTTGTCCGTGTTCTGACTGCCACTTCAACTTTAGCTGCTGGTGTTAACTTGCCTGCTAGACGGTTTATATTCAGGCAACCTAAGATCGGTCGTGATTTTATTGATGGGACTCACTATAGACAGATGGCTGGCCGTGCTGGTCGAACTGGAATAGACACAAAAGGAGAAAGTGTAAGCTGCAATATTTTGTTCCACTTTATTGTACATAGAGAATGGTTCTGACATTTCACTAGTTCTGTTTTCATTTTTTTTATTAGGAATCGAGTTCGCAATGATGATATACGTGATAAATTAGGTGTAGCACCAATTGAAGAAAAAGCTTGTCCAACACCGGTTGAGATGGTTTGGACATGTCCAACGGAGACCACCAGAGGCACCGGTGCGTAGTGGAATCCTATGCCAGAATAGTAACATGAAGAGAGACAGAGGAAGACCGAAGTTGACTTGGGTAGAGGCAATAAAAGGAGACATGAAAGGATGGAATATATCCAAAGACTTAGCCTTAGATAGGAGTGCTTGGAAAAGAGCTAATCACGTGCCTGAACCTTGATCGCTTCTGCTGGGTTTCAACTCTAGCCTACCCCAACTTATCTGTGACTTGAAAACTTTGTTGTTGTTGTTGTTGCTGCTGCTGCGTGTAGATATTTCCGTTTTTGTCTAATAATTTGACATTTGAAATGCATGCAGATACTTGTATGGAGGCTTGAAGAGGTCAAGAGAATTACAGGTATTATTAGAAGCAATTGCCCTCCCTCGGAGTCCTGCCTCTCAGAAGATAAAAATGGAATGACTCATGCAATTATGGAGGTTGTTGCTGGTGGGATTGTGCAAACTGCAAATGATATTCATCGATATACTCCGCTACTCCCTTTGGTGTACGCTGCTTAACTCCACGAGACCTTTTGATGATGTCATGAAGTCAGCTCAAGACTCCCCTTGTTGGTTATGCCATAAAAGGTTTCTTCACTGGAACCATGAGACCAAGATATACTCCGCTACTCCCTTTGGTAGAGCTGCTTTCGGAAGTTCACTCAACCCTGAGGAATCACTACTGGTAGCATACTTGTCTTTGCTCCTTCATTATTTCATTGCATTGTTTAATCTTGCATTTTTCTGTTTCTGCTCTAGGTTGTTCTTGATGATCTTTCGAGGGCAAGAGAAGGCTTTGTTCTGGCATCTGATTTGCATTTCGTTTACTTGGTCACACTCATAAATGTAGGTCTTGAACCTGATTGGGAATTATATTACGAGAGATTCATGCTTGCTTCTCTTGAGCAGGTATGCAAGTTTTCTTTTGTCCTATTGACTTGAAACTTCATTATCAAACTGTAAGTAGAATATGCAGAAATTCAAGTTCTATCTGTACTCATTAGAAAATAGTTGAAAGTGAATTCAGAAAATATGAATTTAGTTGCTGTTGAACTAAATGTGAAGCAAAAGTGAATTGAGAAAATGTAAGTCAAAATTGTTAAGGTTGTCAAGGATATGTGAAAGCTGAAACAGATATGGCCATTAGCCTTCCCACTATATATCTAAACGGGCGGGTGGGGCGCAAAGCCTCCCTCGGCAGTCGACGATTGTGGCCTCCCATGGGCGAATGGTAGCGGTGACCTCCGTGAAGCAAGCTGGGCTGCAGGTGCAGAGGTACGACAAGATGCAGATGCCTACAGCGGCCATGCGGGGGGCGATTGTGGAGGCCATGGCGAGGTCGCAGGTGGCGACGCATGCAGGAGGGGCAGTAGGAGCAAAGGGGCGGCGCCGGCAGCATGCAGCAGCAGTCTGGAATGGCAGCGGTGGGGAGGATATGGCGACGACTCGAGAAGCAAGAACAGCACGCATGAAGCTTTGTCTTTTGTTTTAGTGCAGGTCCCGCAGCCGAACCAGGTCGGATGCGGTATTATACTATTATACGTTCAGAAATGAATAGTTGCGTGTATACTGCTATCATCCACCTAATCACCGGAACTAGCATACACACTCTCTGATAGCCTGCTCCTGGAACTGCAGGTCACCGCTTTAGGGTATTACTTTCTGAATAAAACAAGGTCGTGGATTTCATTAGTAGAGTTTCAATAAAAGTATCTGGAGTGCCTCTTAACTACTTCAGATTTCTATATGTATATGGTATTTGATCATTTGATTCTAGATGCCGCACATATACATCACATTAGCTCTCATATATCTATATTTAATCCTCATTGCACTACGTTTTTCATTCTGCTTTGCCACCGTTGGTGCGTGTGATTTAAATTTGCCAATAATTTCACTTCGATTCTTCTTAAATTTCTTGATCCAATTGAACCATTGCCGCAAACTCACATGGAAGACATGCAATACTACAAATCTCCGCAGCAACGCGCGGGGTATCATTTAGTTAGTGTAATCTTCTAGTCTAGGGTTTTCCTCTTATGTATCTCATGTACTCTTATAGAGCTTATTCTTTCAATTCAGTGCCTGTTATTTTTAACAAAAAAATGGAATCGGTGAAATCTGTTTTGGTATTTTTACATAACCATGAATCAGACTAAAACATACATATACTAATTGGACTCTTTCGCGCTGTATTTGGTTGCAGTTTACTACTTCATATATTATTTGACATGGTTCATAAGATTCTTTTTAGGACTTGGTAGTTATTAGCTTTTTGCAATCCCCATGTTTTCTTTGGCCCAACAAAAAACAGAACAACTGACATGATAACATGTTTTCTGCAGAACATTAATCTTTTATCAGTGGTGTTATCATTATAGTGCCAAAAATGTTTATAACTGTATGCCTTGTCTACCCTATTAAGGCCTAAATGATGAAGGGTTAGTCGCAGACCTTTTGGGGCCTGTGCACTGTTCATGCGAAAAGTAAATGCGTTACCATTCATGCTGTGTCTGGGGTTTGTTAAGATAGACATTAGATTAGATCGGGTTGACTTGTTGGCTATTTCCTTAACGCTAGAGAGTAGTTGTTAAGGATCAAGTCTCCACATCTATATTGCAATGGGATTGTATCTACTTTGAATTAAGTAAGAAATAGATAGATGAACAGTTCGAAGGGCGGGCCTGGTGCAAGTGGTAGAGTCTTACCTCCTGTGACCTGAAAGGTCCCGGGTTCGAGTCGTGGTCTCCTCGCATTGCACAGGCGAGGGTAAGGCTTGCCACTGACACCCTTCCTCAGACTCCGCACAGAGCGGGAGCTCTCTGCACTGGGTACGCCCTTTTTTTAACAGTTCCTATCTGGTTATCACCCTCCTTAACACTGGCTTTGTCGCATGGCGACCACGCAGTATGCTCGTGACACCGTATCTTTCTGAAGTTTACCATATTGGTTGAGAAATCAAACCATTACTTACATTATCAATTTCAGTTCATAGAACACACAATTTCTCTCATTTTTCAATTTCTGTTTGTTTTGTTGGTCAATGCAGTCAGTTGGCAATTGGGTTGGAGTAATCGAACCCCTCTTGATTCTCATGGCTCATGGGGCGTCAATGCCTGTTTGTGGAAGTCCTCAGAGAAACACTGGTTTAAGTAACAAGTCAGCACAAGCCGGTGGAAATGCTCTTGTCAGTGAGCATACACTCAGAGTGTCAAAGCGCTTTTATGTGGCTTTGATGTTATCGAGGCTTGCTCAGGTATAATCTAAGAACTATTTAGACATTGCGTGTTAGTTCTCTGTCAATTCATAGTGCTCAAGATTGGTAGAAAGCCTAAGTTGCTAAACATAAAAATTAGTTCAATAGGGAAATAAAGGTTGAAATGTTTTCTCATTATAGATACAACAACAAAGCCTTTTAAGTCCTAAATAAGTTGGGTAGGCTAGAGTTAACCCAGCAGAAGCAATCAAGGTTCAGGCACGTGAATAGCTATCTTCTAAGCACTCCTATCTAAAGCTAAGTCTTTGGATATATTATATCCTTTCAAATCTTCTTTTATTGCCTCTACCCAAGTCAACTTCGGTCTTCCTCTGCCTCTCTTCACATTACTATTCTGGCTTAGGATTCCACTACGCACCAGTGCCTCTGGAGGTCTCCGTTGGACATGTTCAAACCATCTCAACTGGTGTTGGACAAGCTTTTCTTCAATTGGTACTACCCCTAATCTATCCTATATATCATCGTTCCGAGCTCGATCTCTTCTTGTATGACCGCAAATCCAACGCAACATACGTATTTCCGCGACACTTATCAGTTCATGTTTCTTTTATTTTTGTAGAATACACGGGAGAGCCACGTATCATTTCATTAAAAAGGGGATAAATAAATAAGTTATAACACACACGCTCACACAAATACACTCGTACAAACTCGTACCGAAATATGTTACAACACTCCCAACACACCTTTTGCATCAAACTAAGACCCTGGGGTGGGCATTTGGGGAACTCGAAATTTTCAGGCACTTGAAATTGCTACCCGATTTTGGTCCCAGAAAAGCATTACCCGACATAGTATTATAGGTTGGTTCCTATAGACATAGTCCGCTGTTTTGCTTGGATAAGAAGAATAGCTACTGCTCTACTATCTGATAGCTTGTAAGAAGCAGCCAGTTTCGACTTTGCTAGTGTGGAACAGCAGTAGGAGGATATGTTGGTTTGATTTCTTAGGCACTAAGGCTAGCAGCTGCCTAGGAGTATCCAATTTCTGATTTTGCTAGACAACAGCCATAGGAGGATCTATGCGCTATACGAAGAGTTAAACACATGTCATAGTTTGCCATTTAGGTCCACGAACTCTGAAAATGCATTTCTGTACATAACTAAATTTGTGAGTTGTGGTCCAACGCAAATCCACATGGTCCATTTCAGCACCAATTTCCTATATGGTGCTGTGCTGATGTCGTGCCTCTCTCTACTCTTTATTCTTCCACTCCTAGCATCTACACCTCTCCCTCTGCCAACAATGACTACCAAGGTGCCATCTGCCAGAACGGACTACCAAGGTGCCCTTTTGTAGTCTCTGTCAAATGCCGAGCTGCACCTGAGGCGCTCCTTGGTAGGTGATAGAGCTGGAGTGCCCGATCCTTCGGTGAGTGGAGGATAACTACGATTTGGTGGGTGTCGACCCTCGCGATCCGACTACGACGAACAAGTCCGTGACGCCTTAGCAATCGCTGAACCAACTCCCTATGGTTATTGACCTTGCTGGTGCTAGATCAACCTGATCACGAAGATCAATTCCTGCTGGCAATCGAAGAACAAGCACGAATTTGAGGCGAGCAACCCTGAATATTACTCGAAGGTGGGGTTCCAAATTACACGAAGACAAAGCTTCGGAAGTAGCAATGGCTAACTTAAGCAAAACAAAACCCGAGCAGAAGAGGGGGAGTAGCCCCTGGCTAAATAGGAGGAGGAGGCGTGAGCAAGGTAGGCGCCCAGCCTGCCCACTAGGCAAGGAATAGGCGCCCAAACAGCTACACGCCATCTCCTTGATCACCTTTCCTGATTTAGGTGGCGCAGCACCTTCCTGGTTATTTCTTGACAAAACTAAAAAAACACATAGGTGGCGCAGCACCTAGACATTATTCTAGCCAGGTTCATCATGAGCATAGATGGCGCATGCACTTAGGAAACTTCTGGTCCTTCATTCTTCAAAATCATCACGAAGTTTAATTCACGTGCACGACCTGTGTTGGTTCAGTTGGAGTAGCCATTCCCGTGTCAGGGTTGATGTCCTCATCAGTAGGTCTAGCCTCCTCGCTAGATTCGGGTGGTGTGCGAGTCAAAAAAGGCGGTGACGCGTGTGAAGACGGGCACGTTCATCGCCTACTAGGTATCGATGACATGAAGCCTCACTCACACCATCGGTGTTGTCAATTTGTGCAGCTCCATCCTCGTTGCCATGGCAGGCTCAAGTGGAAATCAAACAAGGGAGGGGCCACCGTGCTCGTGCGTTGAGTATACTGGCACCACCTTGGACCTCGTCTTCACCACCACATTCTGCATCTTGGACCTCGTCTTGACCAGACCAGTGAGCTTGTGCGCATTGGTTGCCAATTTGGCATGCTATGGCGTGATGACCTTCTTTGAAAAAGCTGAATGCGCATTGGTTGCCAAATTTGAGGCGTCGCGCGATTGATGGTGAACCCCTTGGAGAAGTCACTGTAGAGCAGGGCTAGATGTGGGGGCTGCCTTCAGCGCCATGATAGCATCCGAGGCCACCGGGGACCAACGGAAGGCGTCCTTTAGGAGCACCATCAATGGGGTGGCTATCGCACTGTAGTTGCTGATCAAGCGGCGATAGTAGCCCGTGAGGCCAAGGAAGCCCTGCAACACCTTGAGAGCCTGGGGTTGAGTCCATTGTTGAACGGCCTCCACCTTGGTCGGGTCCATGGCCACCCCATCCATAGATATGACATGGCCTAAATATGCGTCGCGCTTGAGGATGAGCTTGTGGGCTCGGTAGGTGGTGAAGCCCCTTGGAGAGGGATAAACTAGAAATCAAGATGTCATCAAAGAAAATGAGTACCAAGTGGTGGAGGATGGGCCAAAGGACCTCGTTCATCAATGGGCTAGAGGGATGTGAAGGACATTCTGACGAACTTGAAGTGTCCATGATGCATGTAGAATGTTGTCTTGTCGATGTTCGCGGGTGCATAGCATCCTTGATGCCACCGCAACTTGAATTGGATCTTCATGGTGGAGCATAAGTAAACTTGGTAACTATCGTTGCATGACACGATGGAAGGCGCCGAGATCTTTAGGAGCACCATCAATGGGGTGGCTATCGACCAACCGACAAAACCAGTCCACGCAATCACGCCCCTATAGGCGTGAAGGCACGAACTGGGTGAACTAAAGTTCGATGTTCTACAACCCCTCGAGGAATCGGCGAATGTTGCAAAGCACTATGCCTTACCAAAGATTCCCGTGAGGCCATGAGAGGAGAACACGAGGTGGCTGTATTTTTAACACCATGAAGGCATGGGTATTTATACAATGACGAAAAGTTGAGTCCATTGTTGAACAAAGGCCTCCACCTGAAGTGGGGTCCATGGGCCATGTGCCCCATCCATAAAGATATGACTTAGCTCGGAAGTCCAAAAGATATGGAAACTAGACTTCAATATCTTTCTGTTGATATGGAAGAAGGAGCAGAAACTTGGCCTAGTTTTGAGGATGTAACAAACTGTTGAATCATAATTGGTAGGTTATCCTTGTCCACAGACAGTCGTCCTCACACATGTTGCATGAGCATCAACATTGGACGAACATTATTGGAAACTTGACTCAAGAAAGAGGGATAAACAAGAAATCAAGATGTCATCGGTAAAGCGAGAAAGCTCACAATGAAAATGAGTACCAAATGTGGTGGAGGATGGCCCAATCTTCAAGGACCTCGTTCATCAATGACCTGATGGAGAGGTAGCGCACTAGAGGGCATGTTAACCGCCGAGACATCCACCCTTCCATGCGTGACAAAAGGTCCATAATCACATTAGACGTGAAGGCACGAACTGGGTGAAGTGTTCCATGATGCATGTAGAATGTTGTCTTACCAAAGTCCGATGTGAGAGGAGAACACACGAGGTGGCTGCATGCGGACTTACATAGAAGGATTACATGGGTATTTATACAATGACGAAAAGTATGCGAAAAGTTGAACTTAAGGTGCTAACCACCATACCCCCTTTACTTTTGGCTGGGAACTCAAGCAATCTCTTCAATTCTCGCGCGGGTCTTGGGCTGCATGTGCACCTTTAAAGCGATCATAACTCTTAGCTCGGAAGTCCAAAAGATGCACCGTTTGTTGCGTTGGAAACTAGACTTCAATATCTTTCTGTTGATATGGAAGAAGGATGCAGAAACGTGGCCTAGTTTTGCAGGTATAGCTGTAACAAACTGTTGAATCATAATTGAGGTTGAGTTATCCTTGTCCACATCACCCCTTGAGCTCGTAGCGCACAGTCTTGGTGTTGAGGGTGCGATAGTTGATGCAGAAACGCCAGCTCGTGTCCTTGCGTAGGTGCACCGCGATTGTTGTACCTGGCAGCAATGTAATGCGGTTGTCTAGGTGTCATGGTGGCAGGCCGGTCAGTTCCGCAAAGAGGTCGAACTTCGGAGAACTCCACCAAGAGGAGCGACATCATGTCCAGCAGCTCCATGGCGTTGAGCTGGGGCATGCTTGGAGCATCTAGGCCACGCCACTTGGCGAGGTGAGCGCCATGCCAGAACACCATAGAATTGCTCTCAATGTCCCATAGTGTGGGCCGAGCATCTTGAGCCACTAGCAGCCAAGGACCAGCCCATAGTCATCGAGGGGTAGGACGTAGAGGTCGATGTAGATACGCTGATAAAGAATCTCCTTGAGGGTGGCCCGATCTTCACGACAGTAGGTCGAAGAACGAAAGATAACTTGCTGCGAACAGCGGAGTAATTAGCTTTATACCCATCCAAGGTTGGATACGACCAAGCGATGGGGAGAGACGGGGAGAGAGGCACCGAAACCGTGAAGACTTCGACTCGATCTCCGAACGACCGTAGAACCACAATCCAGAACTAATCCACTCAAAACGGTGCAGCCGTACTGAAAACCGTAGAGCACGAAATAGGGGATTCTAGAGGAATCTCTTCACAAGTCCAAGAAGAACAAGGAAGAACAATTGTTTAAGTAAGACACTCAGCAGCTCGGCTGCAATATCATGCGGTTTATCAATTCATCAAAAGGTTCCTAATAGCTTAGAGGCAGGTGATACTTATACTAGGAACAACCCTCCTAGTTAGGTATGAAAACGAAATGGAGTTTCTGAAGATAAGCTATGTGAAAGTTCACCACGAGATGGATTCCCAAAGTGGTCTTGTGTGACTGTTGGCCTCCTGAGCAGTCTCCACTAATCTGACCATAACTCTTTATTGGGAAGTCGAAATGATGAGCCGTTTGTTGGGTGTGAAAGTAGATTCGATAAGCTTTCCAGCAATGTGTAGCATGCATCATGAATCGTTGTAGAATGGTACAACATGGGAAGTTGTACCTACATTCTGTCCTGGGAAGACTGTTTACCTTCTGAGCAGTCTTCACTAATCTATTCATATCTCAACATTGGGAAGTCCAAAATACTCAGAACTGGTATCATTGGAAACTCGGCTTGATAAGCTTTCCAAAATGTCCTCATGGACCTCCAAAGCTTTAGGGAATCGAGATTTATGAATATTTCTTTCAGCTGGTCCATTTTCACTGTGCTGGTGCGAACTGATGGTCTGTTTTTCACTGTGCTGGTCCGACGTAGAGCAACATCCTCCTATTGATTTGTATACCTATGTACAACCAAAGTAGAACACTTAGGTAGTATAGTATTCTCATGTATATTGTAGTTAATTTCAGCTAGGAGTGAGAAAACCTCTTTTTGGAGTACTTTTGCATGACTACGCGTAATTGGCCCTTCATAGACTTGCTTATGTGTAACTTGAGTAACCGGTGGCGTGTCCTTCATCATCATCCTCTTGAAAAGGAGTCGTCCTCTACTCTTCCAATCCAAAAAATTGTGCTAGGCCGTTGACTTGTAGGTTTGTGATAACATCACAATTTTCTCCTCCCATCACAGCAAGGTGTTTGAATCTATAATCATATAAACCAAATAGCAGCCTTGGAGGTGGAAACCGAAAGGATTTGGAATAAAGTTTAGCTTTCACCTTGAATCGATGATCACAACTAATGGTGAATGTTGATTTCCTTGGCACGGTCTCATCATACGCTCTCCGATGGTCATGTGCACTTGCTTTCAAACCCCATCGGAGGGATGCGACCACCATTGGTGACGCTCACGATGAGGTCTGGGCATGGCTCTAACTCAAGGCTGAGGCGGTGTGCTGTGGTGGACACCACAAAGGAGTGGGTGGAGCCGGAGTCCACCACACAACTACTTGGAGGCGATGGAAACTGGTAGGTGCATAGTGTCTGCCGTGACGATGCCGGTGAGGGCTTGGAGGGAGATTTCGACGTCGTCGTCAGAACTTGGGTCATCTTCCACCGCACCGCCGACCAGAGCACGTATGAGGCCTATAGCGTCGTCGTGAGACTTAGGATCTTGAGCTCCACATTGGTCGGAAGTGGGCTGCGGAGGCTAGGAGTATGGGTGAAAACAGTACGGATATTTTCCGACCGTATTTGAGACCGAATCCGTTTAGAGGAGTTCTGATCTGTCCATATCCGAGTCCGGATATTCAATATCTGATACCATATCCGTATCTGAATACTCAAATCGCATATTTATGATGTCGATACCCAATCGTATCCTATCCGGCATGGCTAACACTATCCGTATTTGAATTCGAATCCGGACAGAAATATGAAAACAAATGTAATATCGGTGATATCCGTCCGTATCCGATCCGTTTTCATCCCTAGCCAGAAGTGAAGATGTCGATCTGCTGCTGCTCCGTGACATTCTTGCAGCTGGCCAACATGTGAAGGAACTGCCCCTGGTGAGCGCAACTTCATATGGGCGCCGAGGGAGTTGCTGTGCACCGGGGGCCAAAACGGTGTTGCGCCCGGTCAGTGGACTCTGGCCAGGTGGGGGCCGCGATTCTGTTGCTGGCATAGTACCAGTCCTGGGCAGCACCCTCCACGTAGAAGGAGGTGAGCCATGGGTGTGGAAAAACCGTTCTGCCTTGTGGAGCCAGACCACCGGATCGGCGGCGCCATCTAGCATGGAAAACACAGCAGTGGGTGGGTTGGGAGGTGGGGGTGGAGGTTGGGTGCTAATCTTCACCTTGTTCGTGCCGCCGTCAGAGCCGCTCAATTCAATCTTTTCTGTCTGCAGCTGATTGGTTGCCACTGTCAAGTGGCTCTGGTCGCCCTTCATTGTTGCCATTTCATCCTTGATGAAGGAGAAATCAGCGAAGAGCTTGTCCATCGTGGACTTGAAGTCCACGGCGGTGATGGAGTCGGCCATGAACAGGTCGCAGAAAAGTGTCTTTGATGCCAAAGGTGATTTGGCTGGATTGTTGGCTTTATTGAAACAATGGCAAGGAAATGAGCCTGATCAACCTCCCTAGGAGGCTCTGGTCATAATAGCTCACTTCTTGCTTAACCCCTAGTCACATTCGGTTTACAGATAAATAGGCTTAGAGGCTAACCACTCTCCTAGAATTTCTCTCTTCTTTCCTATTATTCCTCCGAGCCTTCCAACTAAGCTCCATGCATAACTAAGGCCCCGTTTGGTAGGGCTTCACTTCACTAGTGAAGCCATTTTTTTTGGCTTCAGCTCCACGAACAGTTCCACTGGTGGAGCTGAAGCGGTTTTGGTAAATCGTTTGGCAAAATGGCTTCCCTGTGAGATCATGTTTTTAGGGGCCTAGAGGAGGTGTCGGGAGAAGCCACTTTTTTTTGGCTCCATCCCACCCCAAATCACTGTGAGAGCATGTTTTTAGGCTATTTTACTTTACCTCGTTTGGTAGAAAACGGCTCCGAACGGCTCTGAAGCCGGTAGAGAAGCCCTGCCAAACGGGGCCTAAGGAAAGACTCAACAAACTTGCCAACTAATTAGGTGTGGCTGTTAGCCACTTGGTGTTGTGGACGCCGGCTTGCTCTTCTTGTGGTGAGTATACGACTTGCTCACAAGCGTCCACAACAGGCTGTTCGTGATTGCTGGTGTGTTTAACTCTACTATGAAAATATCTATGTGCAGTATGAAGAAGCTAAGCTATTTGGTTCAGAACTGAACCTGTATTCAGTCTTAGCAACTCCACTCATCACCCTCCTCTAGTTGCAATCCAATAGAGAGAGTATGTCTGATATGTATTTCATATGCACTTTGCACAAGCAGATTAGATTATGTCCAAGTTGTGTATTGTAATGGTCTTAATGTAAGCTTGTTTTGTAATATAGCCATTAGGAATTGTTCGTTGTGGTATTGTCAATTTCTTCTCCTGTATTTTGTTTTTTTATCTTTTATTCCATGTTGGGGTGTTTCCATCTTGTTTCCTTGAAAAGATTGTACTGTTCTCATGTAATGCTTCTTTCAGGAGATTCCTATTGCTTATGTTTGTGAGACATTTAAGGTCGCCAGAGGTATGATTCAGGCGCTGCAGGAAAATGCTGGCAGGTTTGCTTCAATGGTTTCTGCATTTTGTCAAAGACTTGGTTGGAATGATTTAGAAGGCCTTGTTTCGAAATTCCAAAATCGTGTCTCTTTTGGAGTTAGGGCAGAGATTGCAGAACTGACATCAATTCCATTTGTCAAGGTGTGCTTCAATTACCATGCATGTATGAATTATCTAAGTGTCGCTGCATCTTATTTCAGTACGGTAATGTAAAATATGAAATAGGGCTCACGTGCAAGGGCTTTGTACAAGTATGGTCTGTGTACTCCTGTTGCCATTGCTGAAGCATCTATTCCTGAAATTGCAAAAGCTCTTTTTGAATCTTCTGGTTGGTCTGGGCAAGGTACTCTTTCAAGCATTCATGGTTTGATCTTTTCCTTGCTACCCTTTTTCGTGTACTTGTTTTCTAAGGATCTAATTGTTGACAATAGCAGTGGTGGTAGCAATAAGTGTAGCAATAGTAGTAGTAGTAGTGTTACAGATGCACAAATTAGTTCCTCAGTTGCTTCTGGATATGTTCAGTAATAAGCTTGCAGATACTTTCAGCCTGTTCGCTTGTTGGTTTCAGCCAGCCCAAACCAGCCAGCTAACAGTGTTTTTCTCTCACAAAAATCAGCACCAGCCAGCCCAAACCAGCACCAGCACCGACCAGCGAACAGGCCCTTTGTTGTTTGTTTTAAGCCTACTCTAATGTCAATCTGTTGAATTGACTAGACTCTGGTTTACGACGAATGCAATTTGGTATAGCCAAGAAAATAAAAAATGGAGCTCGCAAAATTGTCCTAGAGGAGGCAGAAGCCGCCAGAGTAGCAGCATTCTCAGCTTTCAAGTCACTTGGTGTGGAAGTTCCTCAGTTCACTGCACCTCCACTTGCAGCTATTGAGGACTATCCAACTCGAGATACCATAGACCAAGCTAAGTCCAACAAGCTAGCTTTTGGTACCCATGCTAGAGATGATAAAAATAAGAATAACTGCTCTGATTATGCTACCCCAAGGGCTTCTACATACAGTTTAAGAAAGGACGCAAACCCTGCTCATTCCATTCAAATGAAAGAGAATGCAGAACTATCTAAAAATGTGAAAATCACTAGAAAGGGAGCAGCAGCATCTTTGTCAACAGAAATTGCTGATGGATTGAGTAGTAGAGATGTGGCTGACAAAGGCCCTGTCCATGCATATAACTTTCCAGGGGGCTTTGACTGTTTTCTTGATCAATGATCTGCTGCTAGCAAATTTTTCTTCGATGTCCATTTTATCAAGAGATCGCTGAAACCATCTTCGAACCTTTTTGAAGTTTTTGGGTTGGCTGTCTGTTGGCAAAAGATCTAGTCACTACTGGTAACAATGACTTCAGGGAAATGTGGGGTAATTTTCAGAGAAGATGGGAAAAAATAACGGACATTATGCAACAAAAGAGTGTCCAGAAAATGACATGGAATTTAAAGATCCAGATTCAGGCACTTAAATCACCTTATATCTCTTGCCAACGGCTTCAAAGGTTTCATCTTGACCATAAAATGCTGGACAAAGTTGAAGTGCTTGACAACTCATATATGTTGTTATCACCAGGCTCTGTCTACAATGGATTGGATACATGTCTGCTAGCGTGGGTTCTATGGCCTGATGAGGAAAGCAGAACGGTACCAAATCTTGAGAAGGTATATCATATATGTCGTGTTCTGCAATACCTTTAGCTTTTCATTGCTGATGCACTGTCCCTTCATGCTCATTTTTTATGTCTGATTTCTTCTGAACTTTGCAATAGCAATACACAGCTGTTAATTTTGATGCTGAGCTATTTCTGATAATGTAGTACTTTTTTATTTTCATCCTTTGTGATAAACAGTTTGTCAAGAGACGACTTCATAGTGAAGCTGCTGCTGCTGCAAATCGCGATGGAAGATGGAGAAATCAGATGCACAAAGCAGCACACAATGGATGCTGTAGACGTGCTGCACAGACACGAGCTTTGTATACTGTTCTGAAGAAATTACTTACTCAAAATCTTTCTGATTTGGTTGAAACAATTGAGGCCCCATTGGTACAATTCCTATTCTTACGTAATACTCTCTCCAATTATAACAAAAGTGTCATTTTGGGTTGCATGTGGTTAACTTGTTTAAACTTTGATGCTTTGGATTGAATATCTGAAAATGGCGCAACTAGATTCCTTTTGGAAAGTAATTCAAAACATTACAACTTTGCTATAGTTTCAAACACTTCACAGTAGTATAGCAGTCAAATCATCCTATTAGTACCCGTGTTGATATCCAAAATGACACTCTCTTGTGATCGGAATACAATATTGCTGCTTGTATTATGCTTGAATATCTCTTATGCATTTATTTTGACAGATTAATGTTCTTGCTGATATGGAACTTTGGGGAATTGGCGCTGACATGGATGCTTGTCTCCGTGCGAGGCATATTATAACAAAAAAGCTGAAGGAACTAGAGAAAGAAGCCTACAGATTAGCAGGCAAGAATTTCTCTCTAAATGCTACTGCTGATATCGCAGACATTCTATATACACACCTAAAATTGCCAGTTCCAAAAGGCTGTGAGAAAGGGAAGCTGCATCCTAGCACTGACAAGCAGTCTTTGGACCATCTGAGGTATTTTTCTTTTTTCCCTGTTGTTAATTCTGAACATCAAACATGTCATTTCTGGTTCTTTGGAAGTACTTGTGTGCCATTTTATATCCGGACATTATGTATGGAAAATTTTTAAATGTGTCAGTATATCTGGTGTCTAGTCAGTGATGGTCCAGTGGTAGTTCTGTGTGAGTAAAGGTAAATTATTATGCTCTCTTTATGAGAGCTAGAAAAGTGCTGGTGGGCCACATTTTATTATCATTTGATCATCTTCTGGACATGCTTTTAGAATATCATTGTGCTAATATGCACTCTTTTTCTGTTTTTTGGAGTCAATTAACGGGATTAACTCATTTTTCATCCCTAATTAAATACGTGCATTTTCATTGCATGTTCCAATAATATCTTTTATTTGGAAAAGTTTATGCCAAAGGGAAGCACATGTATCACTGTCACCCCTTTGTTTACCTTATTTTCAGTTTATGGGCTGATGATGATGTCCCTATTATATGCACTCGGAAGATCTGTAGCAAGGCAACACTACTGCCTTGCCAAGCAGGCCTTCCTTGTGATTGAAATCTATGGCACTCTTTTGATTTCACTTGGCCCCAAATTTTCCTCGACATAGAATTGCCATGGCTTTATAGTTTACTATAAAATCCTTATCAACTGGACATAATGCTCTCTTTAGGCTTCTATCAATTATCCCAGTAATGTAGAACTTTAGTTGTCCATTTTGCTAAAATATTTTTGAATTCTTCTGTTTCCTCAGGGATCAACACCCAATTATCCCAGTAATTAAAGAACACAGAACATTAGCAAAACTGTTAAATGGCACATCGTGGTCCATTTGCTCACGTGCTCAATTGTGCACTCAATCACAAAGGTACATCATACATGGTAATTGGCTTCAGACATCAACTGCCACTGGCCGTTTGTCCATGGAGGAGCCAAATCTGCAGGTTCTTTAGTCGTAGTAAATGTTTTGTGTGCTTTGTTTGGATTTCCGTTATTGAGGAATAACCTACTGATTTACCCTGTTACTATGTAGTGTGTTGAGCACTTGGTGGAATTCGATACAGGGTAAAGCGATAAAGATTACTCAAGCGTGTCAGTGGATTATCATCATAAAATCAATGCCCGTGATTTTTTCATACCGACCAAGGTTTTCCTCATTTCACTTTTATGTATTTATTAAGTTTTCCCTTTAATTAGGATAGTTGACTATATTTTTCCTGTAACAATGCTTTAGATAATGTCATGATCTACTTGTTTTGTAGGAGAACTGGTTATTCGTAACTGCTGATTACTCACAGATTGAGTTGCGTTTAATGGCTCACTTTTCTAAAGATCCTACGTTGGTTGAACTTCTAAGTAAACCTGATGGTGACGTTTTTACCATGATTGCTTCAAGATGGGCTGAGAAAGAAGAGGCCTTGATATCTTCCAAAGAGAGAGAAAACACTAAAAGATTCATATACGGCATACCTTACGGAATGGGTGCAAACTCCCTTGCAGAACAACTTGAGTGCAGCACTGAAGAAGCTGCACAGAAGATTCAAAGCTTTAGGAGACTTTTTCCTGGTGTTTCCTCATGGTTACATGAAGTTGTGTTATCTTATCGCCAAAAAGTGTTAGTCTACTTGGTAGCAATTTCTGTTTAGTCTTTCTCTATATATAATATCGTCCCTTTGATTTTGATGCTAACGTTGAATGAGCTCTATGAAAAATATGTTACTCCAGACGTAACTTTTGAGATATTTCATATTTGAACTTTTGAGTTATTTCATATTTGAGCATGTATTATCATGTCTTACAACATTAGTACGTGAGCTGCTTCTCATAACAATTTAAGGTGAACATGTTGCATGATAATTTGGTTGTATTTGGATGTTTAAGTTTAGGCCATGTTATTTATATTACAACTGGTTCAGATCAGTGCTCAATCCATTGGGTTGACATATGCACATATTAAGTGTAAGGCCCATCTATCTATAGGCCCATATGGCCCATGAGGTTGGATATATATTGTCATCTCCACTACTAGAGTAGTGGTCTTATGAAATCCCCAAGGTTAGTCACATGATAACAAAGCCATGGATTAGGGTTTGGGTTAGGTTCATCTAATCCACTCATGATTCAATTTTCTTTTTACCTGGGCTCTGCCGGTCACCGGCCTTCTTCAGTTAGTTGTGGCCTAATGTAGTTGTGGCCTAATGTGTGAAACCCTTGCTATCTCACAACTTCCACCCGCTTGTAGTGCGTGGCCCATCGAGGACCGCGTTCACCCGCACATTGGATTGTGAATCATGTCCACTCGTCACTGCCCTTGTCTGTGCAGTTCGCGCGGGAGGACCCGTGGCCTGTCGTTGCTCATTTGCCCCATCTTTGACCGTCGCCGCTTGTTCGCCCCATATTCCACAGTTACCATTCGGTTCCGCCCCTTGCGTATTGATTTGTTGTTCATCTGCCTGTTCGTGGAAATAGTGCCTTTAGCGTCTGCCCACTCATCCTTCTTACATGGTTGCCTTTGTCTGCGGTTTCATTTTTCTATGCTGTGGATTGGCAGGTGGTTGTCATCGTCTCCAGCATCAGCTTCCTAGAGAAGACAGAGGGGGTGTTCTTGTGATTGGTGATCCGATTCCTCATTGTTCAAAAGGTTACAGACTCGCTAGTGCTAAAAGAGAAAACAACCTTAACCACAAACTCTATTGAGACTCAACATCAGCTAGGGTCAGGGGCGGAGCTTAGTTGGGACCAGAGGGGGCCCTAGCCACCCCCGCTACCACTAATTCTCCATTAAATGAACAGTCAAAATTAGTGAGGTCGGCTCATCGACTTGAGCTCAAGCTTCCCCCCTGGCTAGGGTGGACAAGCAGGACATCCCTCGAGCCCCAGCCAACATCCACAAATGAAGCTCTTCTGTAGTGAGCGCCCAGACCACCCCTAGATTAGGTGCCATGCCATTAAAGACACATTGATTCTGATGCTTCCAAAGACTCCATGCTCCGAGGATGACCAGAGAGTTGTCAAAGGACTAGTACACTAAAAAGTAGCCCTGTACACTGTGCTATTGGACCGTCCATCTTTTAGAAAA